TCTCTACTTAATTATGTACAAACAACAAACAATGCGAAGGCAGAGTCAAACAAGCAGAATCGCCGGGCGAAAAAACTTCGATAAGCGCTCTAAACAATCTGGCACAAATAGTTGGCGGGCGATTTTTATAAATGGACTCTTTCACTGCATGAGACTGACTGATCAAGCAGCGATTGGTCTCATAAAGGAATGTGAATGCCTTTCGGAGTGCTGCTATAAGCGAACCGTGTTGGTGAGCGATGCGTTCAGGATCAGGTGATCTGACCCCCGTATTGGCAGCGGATGTCGCCGATAGTAGTGGACGGCAGAGGAGATCGAGCGGAAGCACGGACCTTCGCCGATCACCCACTTGTCACCTCTTCGTTCAAGCTTTATGTGCAGAACGCCCGTCGCACCTCGTAAAGAAAGCGCTGCACTTCCTTCCCCTCGAGATCTGAAAGATTATAGCATTTAAGGGATCACTGGAGAATTTGAGGAACAACTCACCGCAGCAGAAAATCGCCCAGACTTCTGCTTTCGAGCAGTTTTTCAGCTCCCACCCGGTCTATGTTCCTTTCTAGTAGAGCTTCCTCCTCATTTTGCGCAGCTACCCGTCGTGGTTTGTCTGATCTCAGGGAGTTTCGCTTTGAATCAACTGGGGAATTACCTATGTGCACGAGATGGTGTGAGAATGAAGGAGAATGTGGGAGCGGGGAAGCTGAAAGACCATGTATCATTCTCTTTGAACGAAATCTTCCAGCAAGTGACTTAGAGATTAAAAGTCGTTTGAATGTCTGTTTTTCTCAAGTTCCTAAAATTGAAAAGTTCAGTGCTCTTTACTAAGCCTCGCAGTATCTATTCTCAGTTCTGATCGGTCATCCTAAAAAGTGCATTAGAATAGCTGAAATGAATGCTTTAAATTTCATCTCCTTACAACAATCAAAATTCTTAGAGCGATATTCTCCAATTCGAATTGCGACTACAATCTGCTTGGCTTCGCTTATATTCAAGAAATAAAAATGACTGCACTCAATCTTCATAAGTTGAGCGGCGTTCTTTATTTTTCTCGATTCGTCAAAGTACTACTGTTCACATCTTGTCGCTTAAACGTCTTAAGAATTTTAGTGAAGCGTGAAAAGAGATAAGTAAATAACGGAAACTTTTTAACTAATTAAGTTAATTCTAAACTAGAGTCCTCCATACTATCATGTGCATCATTTTTTGAAAGAAACTAAAAAGAGAACTGAAAAATTACCAGCTTAAGGAAGCATGACTGTTTTTTTAATTAGTGATTTATAGTGTGCTAGCAAGCGTACATACTGATTAGTTGCGGAATTTTTTTCCAGAACATCAAACTTGGACATGAAAATTACAAACTGAATAATAGTAAATCAAAAATATGAGCGAGGTATGAAAAGTACTTGGCTGTAGGTTGAAAATACAAACAAAATATTGCAGAAGGACTTCTTTCTTCTAAGTTTGCTTCGTTCAGAAAGCATCAAAAAAGTATTGCTTTTGAGAAAAGTCTATATTTACAGTCCAAATACTTGCGAATAAATCCTCTTGATTTGTAGAGAAAAAAATCTTTTTATAATTCGAATATCTTCATCAACGAGATTATAAAATGCTGTAGATAATTTAAGAAATTCAACACTGCTGTTGCAATAAATTCTGTTTCGTCCAGTCATGAACTGTTGCCCTATAAGTTTGAAACTAAACAATAATCGTTTAGTAGTACTAGTGAATACTAGCTGAATCCAGCTTGCTTACCTTGCGGCGAACCTGTACTAACACCGGGACCCCTGCTAAAGTGGGCAGCTTCTACGGCCGAAAGCCGTACGGAGTTTGGACGCGCAAGGAACTCCCACGGCGTGTCGTAGTGATCTTCTTCCATCAGTTCCCGCACATATTCTGCAAAACGCTCGTTTGAGTGGCCACGTCATCCCAATGAGGTAGTGAGACTGTCTCGAGCGCACTTTGAATGAATTATGCAGAAAGGCTGAGTAAACGAATGAGTCGCGCATAATGGATGTCTAAATAGC